CGAGCCTCGTCTCACCCCACTCTGGCGACTTTGCATTAAAATCGCCAGTGATGATGACATCCAGCTTGGATTCTATGAGGCTCGATTCTAGGTCTTCTATATTGGCTTCGAAGGTGGTCAGCGGGTCGTTGGGTGAGAAGTAGCAGCTATACATACGTATGTTAGCCACCTCTATCCACACAAACCCGCTGCTTGTCTCCAAGAACTTGTCAACCCGCAATTCTGGGTTGCACAGCTTGATGGCGGCTCTCTTCGCCTTATCCTGATACCAAGGTGCGAGGTCGCTTCCTTGATACTGCTCACTGCAGAACAGGATATCCACCTCATTTTCCCTAGCTGTTTGCATCAGGAGCACCTGTGCATCCTTACTTGTATGCAGGTTGACTTGATGGAGCTTTAAGGATTTGCCCTTTTAAGTTTCTCCAGTTCCTCCTTGTAAACCGGGCAGGAAATTCTTCCAGGGATATGGTTGACTTCCGTTTTTCCCAAATCTGTACACGTTATGCACTTTGGCTTGTCATTAGTACACTTTTTGGAGAAGTGTCCCGCTTCGCCGCATCTCCGACAGTTTTTTGTTCTGTCGGGGCCCTTGCAAATTCGGGTCACGTGTCCATAGGCTAGGCACTTTTGACATCTTGTCACTTCTAAGTGCGTTCGGATGGATGCATTTATCCAGCCAATACGCACTTTGCCCAGCTTAAGCAGACTCTCGCTGTCCGATTCATTCAAGCGTACTAGTGCCACTTTCGTACCACCAAAACGTGTCAGAAGTCGGCAAGTCACCTCTAATTCGGGCTTTTGCAACTTCTGCTTTAAGACGGTTAAAACGTCCTCCTCTAAAGTTGTTTCGACAAGATCCCGAATTTCGAGGGTCTTTTTACTGACAAGAGCCGTAACCTCGGCCTTGTCCAGAAGAACGGAGGTAAGATTCTGAGCGAACTTTAAAGTTTCACCCCCCTTTTTCACAACAACAAGAACCTCTTTTTTAAGAGTTCTCCTAATTTTCACAATCTCTGTTCCAGTTTCCTCTGGCTTTACCGAAGTTGTTGCCAGTTTTATGAGATCATGGTAGGTCTCTGGATTCCGGGCCACAATTTTTATTGCCTCCGTTGTTCTAATTTTGGGGGGGCGCTTCTGAAGTCGCTCCCTCTCCTCCGCTTTCTCCAAGGCCTTTTTCTTACGGGCCTCCCGTTTCCTATTGGAGACAGTTTCAAAGTCTTTTTCGTTTTCAGGCTTATTTGCCACAGTTGCCTCCGAATAAGAAGCAACCCTGGCCGAAGCAGCCTTACTCACCTCCGTCTCCATAACAGTAGGGTTTGCCTTGGTCTCCTTGCTCTTAACCCTCTTACCCTTGGGAGTGGTCACAGAAGAATCAGTCTCCGGACCTTCAAACTCTCTAGGGCGCTTCCTTGGGTCGAAGGACTTGCTCTCGCTGGATGTGGCGTGCGACATCGATCTAGGAGTTTCAGGATTCGACCTTGGTTTGCTTGGGCTAATGAAGGGCTTAGGTATAAATCGCAGGTTTCTGCAAAGCACCTCGTGCACCTTCTCCATTGCCACCATTCCATCCTTAACATCCTTGCTAATGTTTTTTTGCTTTTTGCAAGCACGCCACATACTATCCAGTATTATTGGGTGTTACAAACCAGAATTTATTTATTAAATTAAATATCGAGCTTTTGAGATAGCTCTAAAATTCTATTTTGGGGAGGCACCAAGCTGCCGAATTCCGTGGGGAAATCGTTTAAATTGTGGATCCGTTTTCCACTTTTAAAAGTTACCACTGCTTCTAAAGATGTGTTTGTTTGAGGAGTAAAGGTAAATAAAGAGAAAATTAATTAAGGAAATTAAAGAGGTTTATTTGTGTGGTGAAAGAAAATTTAGAACGATACATCTACTTACTCTACCGGCGACAGTGGTGTCACAATCAGCTGCCGTCGGGCGAAACAAACTTCTGTTGGTGTTGGCACACAACACGATTTTTTTTTCTTTAGTCTTTTGTTCAAGTAAATAAATTTGAACTTTAGCGTTTTCTTTAGTATTCAAAAAAAACTAAAAAAAAAATTATTTTAAAACAACAATTTTTTTTTTTATATCAAAGCCGTTGTATCGGAACGGTGCAGGCGCCACACGCACGGGCTGGCCGGTTTTCACATAAACAAAAATCTGCTATAATTAATTTAATAATGACAGCCGATTTTCATCCGACACAATTCTCGATGGACTCCGTCGGTTAGAAGAATTTAATTTAATTTTTCGTCCGCCTTTCGCGTTATACTTAAAAAGTTTTACACGGGGGTCCGACTCGCAGACGGGCTAAGTCGCGGCGTTCTTGTTTCTCGCAACACTTGCCAAGCTGAAGCCAGGAGAGGTGTTGCTCGAGAGAAGCAAGAAGTAGTACTGCGTTAATTAAAAGATTTTGACTAGCCTCTAGTCCTTGTTTTACCTCCAGAGTGGGACAATTTTGCAAACGAGGAAATTTTAATTTTTTAGGAGTAGGAAGGAATTCGCGGCCCATTGGACGCTGCAATTTTTCGCTGACTCTAGCATGCATAGACAGACTCGTGTGAACGGAAACGACTGTCATTTGATATTTTTTTGAAAATAACTCCTTATAATTAATGAAAATTAATTTCATCATTTTATTAATTACAACAATTCCCAATTGTGATGGCTGTTTAAATTAATTAACAACCATACAACTGTGTGAATTGCTAATGAAATTGGTGGAGTTGTTTAGTTGTATGTAATTTCCGATCACAAGTTGATTGATTAGTGATGCGTAAAATCAACCAATTGTAGTGGTTGAGCACCCCTGTTGTAGGATCAAGCTGTCAAAACGCACGTGCGTTTGTTATTATATTGCGGCGTAGCTTGTGGGCCTGAGGGAAAAGGGGAGGGTTTTTATCAGAGGAAAACAGCGAGTAGAGGCGAGCATGGAGCATGTGTTGGTGTGCGCGGCTGCAAGTTCGTATGTCGTTGTGAATCCTATAACGAACGGAGTCCGTGAGAGCATCGGTGTATACTATATGCCGAGAAATCCGTGCATGTGTGCGTTATTATAATCATTCAACCACATGTGCGCGTGTTTGTGACAGATATTATTTTGGTTTTACTTCCTCTTTCCCCTTTTTTTTTTTAGATGCATATTCCATAATTTCGATGTTGTATTTCATCAATTCCGATGTTGTTACAATGTTGGTTATCGCCATTTTGGCTTCTCAACATTGTCGCAACATTCCATAATTTCGATGTTGTTACAATGTTGGTTATCGCCATTTTGGCTTCGCAACATTGTCGCAACATTCCATAATTTTGATGTTGTATTTCATCAATTCCGATGTTGTTACAATGTTGGTTATCGCCATTTTGGCTTCGCAACATTGTCGCAACATTCCATAATTTCGATGTTGTTACAATGTTGGTTATCGCCATTTTGGCTTCGCAACATTGTCGCAACATTCCATAATTTTGATGTTTTATTTCATCAATTCAAATTCTGCAAAATAATTAAATTTTTGAGACAAAATTGAGAATTTTATTAATTTCATTTTTGTTTAGTGCTAGTGCGCGCTTAAGAGTGTAAGCACTTTTGCTGACAAGTCCGGCTTATCGGAGTGTCATATTTCAGCCTCGAAGCTTGCTACTTGGTGGCAAGTCTTAGGCTAGAAAGAATACTCCGAAGAAAACATTGGGCGTTGTTGCCATATATTAAATATTTTAATGTGTAACAATCCACCGCGAAATTCCGTTTTGGTCCCCAAAACAATAGTTTTTACTTAGTTTAGATAATAAACAATTTCAATAATTTTGTTGAATTGAATCGGCCTGTATACCCAGAGAAAAGTCATTTATTTTAGCATTTTAGCATTTTTATAGTAGAACAATAGATATTTTGCTTTCAATGGTTTACAGCGCATCTGGGTACAAGTTTTATTACAATCTCAAATTGCGTACTTAAAAATTTTTCTTATAACTAGTTAGTGTAATAATTAACACATATCGAAAGGTGTTACAAAATATAGCCGTGATTGAGAACACAAAACGTCCAATGAAAATATAACTAAAATCCGGTTTTCATTTTAAATTTTCTGCACAATAAAATAGTTTTCTCGAAATTTCCTTTTCGTGTTGCAAAATTTATTATCATTATATTTTTTTTTTTTTATTAAAATTAAAGTTAGAATTTCAAAAAAAGATATGAAGGTTAATTTTCTTCCAACGAAATTTCGAGAGTGTTTTCTTCGTAACGTCAATCGACATGCATTATTACGGTCACCGTTTTTCCTTTCTTGGTTTGTTTTAACTTTCCATCTAATTACTATTTATTTTAGTAATTATTATTAAATTAAGATTATCGGGTCTGTACAAGACAATTACATTAATTAATTCCATATTACCCATTACATAGTCAGTTACCATAAATAAGATCTACTGTAATCAGCAAATTACCTTATATTCGATAACACTGTTAAAATGTTCTGAATTTCCTTATAAATTCAGAAATTCAACAAAAAAATAAAAATTTTTTTTTTTTTTTTTTGTGGTACCGAAAACATTTATAAGTTACGTTTAATTTTACTATACGATTCTTACGATCTTTAAATGTTATTCAAAATTCCAACTATATTTCCAACAGTGTAGCACACAAATCAAACGGAGCTGATGACCAATTAGAGTCGAATTTCAGCTGAGTTTGGCTATCTGCTTAAAAACAATTTGAGCTCTCAAAAGAAGTTCCTGTGGGTTAAAAATTTTTTTTTTTTTTTAATTTAAATTCATTTCAATTCTACTAGAATGTTACTAAGAACTTTTGAAAATAATTAATTTCTTTTAGGGAATTTAATTTTTTAATTTAACGCAAATTTATATTATTCCAGAATTTTATATAACAAAATTTTCTTAAATGATTCAAGTTTTGCCAGAAACTTCATTAAAAAAATTTTTTTAAGAGACTTTTGAACTTAAAGGACGAAAATAAGAAGTTATTTGTTGTTTTCGAATAATTTTAAGTTATTAAAGAATTGGTAAATAAAGGAATTAGTAACGAATTCAACCTTAATGCTCATACTGTAATTACTGCTGTAGCTTTTGTTTGATATGACAACCCAGCATGATACATGGAGATGCGTCACACAACTGTACCCTTTGTGTCGCGGAGCGTGGTAGTTTAGTCTTATTGTCGGTACCGTTGAGCTACGACGTTGCTCCTTTTCATTTAAATCTTTCCTCCTTTTTATACGCGAGTGCGCCCAGTGGTTGACGGTGGTACAGTGCAAGTGAAAAAAAAGGGTGGCGTGTGGTCGCAGGATTTTTCCTTGTTTCTCAGTTTGTTATTCTTTTTTTTTTACAATTTATTTTTTCTATGTCTCTGCCGGAAGTGAGTGAGTGTGATGGAAGGGAGCTATATGGATGTATGGCTTTTTCCGATTCCGAATCCGAACCCGTGGACTGGGAAGATTTTCAAGATTCCCTTTGGCGGGTAGGAGAAATTTTCCGGCTTAATCCCGGGGAACAACGTAGGGCTAGGAGAGGCGCCCTTTTCAAGATACTCTTCGAGGGGATTCGTGACGTAAGTGCCACCAAAAGGGAAACCGACCAGGATGAACCTCCCGCCCTTATTTCGACTGAAGAACTCCGTCAGCAACAAGAAAGGGCTCACAGGGGCCCTTCACTGGAGGCGGTTGTCGAGTTATTAAAGTTTGATGCTGCTCTTCAGTCTTTTCGAATTTTAGCGGAACTGGATTCATCTCGCGGGTAAGTCAAAATAATTATTGAAATTCTAAATATTGCTCACTCTCCAAACCCGAATCAGTCAAAAATCAACCAATCGAACTAGCAAACCAAAATCTTACTAATGAATTAGTTAATTTCAGAAGTTTCACTAACAAAATAGTAAAATTAGTAACATTCGGTTATTACTAATTTAAATTAGTAAAAATATTTACTAATTCATTTAGCAATTTGTCGTTAGTTACCAATTGAACCAGTTAGTTAGATATAACCTCTATTTCTATGACAAAATATGTATATTTGTATAGCGGCAGAACAGCAGTTATAATTTTTTTTTTTGATTTGTTAAATTTTCTGTACAAAATATTACAGAAGAAGTGAAGAAAATGTGTTAAGAAAAGAGTTGTTAGTTAGGAAGTGTTATATTTCTACCTGTTTTTAAGTTGGAAAAACTATGATTGACTAAAATATTAATATTCATTTATTATGTTTTTCGTATCATGTGATATTACTTTACTTTATTCTGCTTAAAATAGTTTATCAACTATTTGGGCATACTACTATTACATTTGTTATACTGAGCATGAAAACGTTTATTATTTTTTATTATCTCTACGTTTCAAAAAAAAAATCATTCATAGAATGATTTTTAATATTATTATTCCAAAACTAAATGTACGCAAATTGTACGAAAATATTTGCCAAAATTAATAAATTGCAATATCAATTTAGACTATAATAAAATCTCAATTCATTCACAAAAATAAACTGAAGTAATTTATAATAAAAAGGAACATGAAGATATTGATAACTTTCAACAATTTTCGAGAAAAAAAAGTTCCTTGACAATTTTTTTTAATTCATTTCTTTACAATATTCAGTTTTACGAAGTTTAAAATATTTGTAAATTCTTCAATTAAATATGTATTAGAAATAAATACTAATACTTTTGATATTCGATTATAATCCAAAATTTCAACTGAAATCCACCTTCAAATGAATTCCCATGAGAAAATTCCACGAGGATTTCATTATTCAAATACAAAAAAAAACAATTTCCCGAAAATCTATTGAATAATTACATATGTCTCTTAAAATTGAATTTCCTTTAAAGAACTGCATCAATCAATTTTTTTAAACAATTTGAATCCTTCTGCAAAATTTTATTAAAATAGTAGATATTAAAAATAATTAACTTGGACAAAATTTTTTTTTTTAGAAAATAATTGAAATTTTGCCAAGAAATTTATAAAAATTTCTTTTTGAATAATCCAATTTTAGAGAAGAATTTTACTATTTGTAAGATAATTGATAATTTACGCAAAGAAGTGCATTAGAAGTTTTGAATGGAATAATGTCATTCTTTAAAGAAATTCAACTAAAAATTTATTAAAAACAGCATTTAAATTCTAATAAATAAATTGTAGGAAAGGTTCTTAAAATAATTAAATTTCTTGATAAATTTTAATAAAAAAAATTTTTTTTTTTAAATAATTACATTTTTCGAGGAATTCGATTAAAATTGTATTAAAATAGTTAAAATTCTGCAATTAGCTTTATTATTTATAATTGAATTCCTAACAAGAATCTCACTATCTGACAAAACTAAATTCCTGCAAAAATTCCATCATTCATGAAGACAGCTGAATATTGCGAAGAAATTCATAGGAAATTTGGAAATAATGAAATTCCTGTAAAATTTTTTTTATTATTATTACCTTTGGATTTATTCAAATTTATACTCTTTCGTGAACAAGGGGAAATTATTTATAATAAAAAAAATAATAACAAGTTAACAAAATATATTTCAATTTTAATTGTTTACTCTAATAAATGTTATTATTAAACAAATAAATAATAAAATGTTCCAGAGCAAATTTGTTAAAATTAATATATAAAAATTAAAAATAATTATTAGAACAATAATCATTTCTTCCTATGCAAAATTATGAAACATTATAATTATTATATTATTATATATTACATTATATTATAAACATAATATAAAATCGAGAGATCTGTCCTTGTGTGAAATTAGTATATATATATTTTTTTTTTTTTAATTGTTATATACAATATATATACTCCAAACTGTTATGTCAGAGTTCTACGGTGAATTTGTAGTAATAAAATAAGTGAAAGAAGAAAATTCAATACATAAATCTCAAAAACTCTATAAACGGGTACACATATACAATTTAAAATAAATTATGTTATGAATTATTTAATTTTGTATCTATTTGAAAACTGTTTCACATTGAAAGTATTTCAGAATTTTAAGCATATAAAGAAAATGAGTATTGAAATCCTTATTTCACGAAATGATCTAAATTTGAAAGGTAATTTGAAATTTCTGAAATAGAATGGGCTTTTCAAAATATAGCTATCAACATTTTTTAGAGTACTTGAATTCCCTAAACATTTTCTGAGAATTGAAACAATTTGAAATTTAGTAAAATTTTTATATTTTAAAGAATTTTATCTTGTCGTATCGTTAAAACATAAATATAATTTATATTTTTCAAAATAGGTATATTATTCTACAGATTTGCAAGAAAACAATTTAATTCCCGCTGTTGAATTCTGATAAGAATTGATTTAATTTAATTTAATTTTTAATTTAAATTTTAATATCAAAATATAAAAAAATAACTATATATTTTTCTTATTGCCACCATTGTTACAAACCAGAATTAATTTTATTTAATAATACCGAGCTATTTTCATAAATAATGTCAATTTCTGGGAGGACTCAACCGTTCCGCAAATAGAAAGTTCCCTCACAAATACAACTAATATCCATACAATTTTAATAAGATTGAAAAAAAAAATATGATTGAAAGGAAAATTAAACGCGCCGCGTAGAAAATAGTTTCGGTAGAGTGTATTCAAGCTGAAGAACGATAATCTTATCGCGGTGTTGGATTTCCATAACCGAGCTTGCTACATTGTACGAGTATGCCTGGTTGAACGAGTTGATTTTTTTTCTGGGGAATAGATTTTATAATAAATTAAGTATGCTGAGCATACTTAGATCATGATTTCAGGCATCACAGTACCTTTTATCCTCAAAAGGGGGCAAAAATATACTAAACATCAAATTAAAATGAGTTAAATTCTTATTCGATTTTTAGAAATTTCCAAAAATTTAATTTGAAGTACGAAAATGTTGTATTTCACTAAAACTTTTTATTACAAAATTCTTATTGTTTTTATTCTTAAAGGTTATTTTCATTTTTAATTATGTCGATTGTTTTTTTTTTTTAACTGAATGTAGTTATGTTATTATGCTGGTCTCCTTTTGTCAAAATTGCAATTATGCGATTATGCTTTCCATTATTTTCTACATTAATAACCATTTTAATGGATTTTTAGCTATTGAACTTTGAAGAGCAATATTAAATATATACAATCTGATGTTATCCCAAACCCGACAAAATGTCAGCCATGCTGCTATGCTTCTCCTCCACAGAAATTTTACCCTTAAAGATTTTCCATTCAAACTTTAATATAAATTTTATGATTATATATTGGCATATATTTAAAAATTTTATTTCTGATCAGTAAAAGGGAAAAAAAGGAGAAGGGGGCTAACTGTGATGCCTGTGATTTAATTTAATTAATTGTAACAATAATAATAGAGTACTAACTATAATAATAAACAATAAAGGAAGATTATAGAGATTAGTTTCAAAATTTTAAGTTATTTATGATACTTATTAAACAGATATCTTAATATTACTAATGATAGTAATAGCTTTAATTAACAATTATTATAATTTTATCAGGTTATTACCAAAGCATACTTATAAAATGTGATGCAGGAATTCGGAATAACGTAAACCTAAGAGTGAAATAAATTCCTCTTTTTTTTTTTTTTTTTTTTTTTTTTTTTAATCAATAACCAATTACTAATCAACTATTCTTGTTTATTTATTTCAAAATTTGAATAAAATTCCTCGAATAAACTCAATTATATATATATATATATATATTTTTTTTAATTCTTTGGAGTAATTAGATGGTTATTAATACATTAATTTCCAAATAAACATTAGAAATGAAAATTACAAAATAATGAAATTAACTTCAAGCTGCGAGCAGATTACCGGATCTAGCGCTTTTGTTAATATTGATTGTTGTTCCTTTCAAATTTTCAAATGAGACAATAAAACTCTCTTTTTTTTTAGATTCTTGATTAAATTTGGGTCTTGGAGACCGGCTCCTCGCCGAATGGATGAAACTGACGTGTGGCATCACGACGTGCGTTTAGTTCGTGACAGCCACCCCAAACTTTATTCGAGGACTCGGTGGTATCAAGAATATCGCTGGGATGAACTTACCCAGCGATATCTATGTCGCGGATTCTGGGCTCCGGTGAGTGTAAAATGTTTCGTGCTTGGCTGAGTACATAGTAGAAACTAAATAAGTAAGGAAATTCCTTCTGCTTTCATCTAATCTGTTTACGTTCCTTTTTAGCGGGAGTTTGTGGGCCTCTCTGAAGTTACGGAAGGGCAAGCATTTACTAAAATGCTTCACGGAGCTTGGCGAGTAGGCGGGCGCAATATCTTCTGGTAAGGGCGTGGAAGTAGTTTGTCGTTTTGATCTTATGTAGTAAAAAAAACGAGTAAAGAAATTTCCCCCCCTTTTTTTTTTTAGCTCCAAGCGCGCACTTCCAGCAATACCTCCTTCTACGGGATTCTAGCCCTTTGAAAGAATGTTAAGGCTGACGTTCTTACAAGCTTTCTTTTGGGATGCCAAGGGGCTGGCTAGGGGATACAATCGATGGGCTTTGGTAAGTTTTTTTTTTTTTTTTTTTTTTTTAGCTGTCAGGGCGTCTGACGCTGTTTATTCCTTTTTCTTAAATTTAACGAATTTAGTTTATATAATTCCCTCATGACTTATCCCCTTTTTTTTTTTAGTCCTTCAACATAGAAAACGAGGAGCAATGGCAAGAAGTGGGTCCGGAGGGCCTACTCAGAAAAGGGGAGTGGACCAGAGGGGGGGATGATTGATTATTGTTATTGAGGGGCTACCCAGGGTTATTTGCCCCCTTTTTTTTTTCACTTAAGTAATTAATTCCCTTTTGTTTCTGTGAAGAGTAAAAAGAAATAAATAAATAAATTAAATAAAATTTAACCGAATAAACAACGACAAAATTATTCATACCATCACCCAGCGGCACCGCGGACAGTCGTGTGAGCAGAAACCCGGAAACTGGTTGTTAGATCAGCTAATTGATTAATGGTTAACCTTATCAAGAATATGGATCTGTTTGATTATATTTAACGATAATATAGATAATCCTTACTTGGAACATATATATACTGTTGATAATTAAAGAAGGTAAAGTTAAAATTTAGTATATAGATTCTGTTATTTAACTTATTCATGGTAAATACTGCGGTTTATTAATTATTGAAATCATTTAATATGTTCTTAATTCCGCAATTCCCTGCACAACGACCCGGAGTAAGTACAAATTAAAATATGCTAAGAAGGCAAACGGCTACTGATTGTATAGTGAGAACCGTCGCTGACCAGGCACTGACCCAAAACTCCCATAGCTCATGGGTGAACGCTCACATGCCAGGGGCATGCGCGCGTTCACCATGTTGACTAAATGGTAGAAAGGAAGTTTCGGCGATTTTGAGGGCGGCCCAAGTGGCTGCATAGTCGGTAAGACCACGTAAGCCTCCCTCATGAAAATTCTTCTCTCTTTCTAATGAAAGAGGGATTAAGCCGGAACCCGTCCCAACGGTGCTGACGTCATCGACGCCTCTCACTACACTGTATTCAACTCTTTTAGGCTTAATATTATAAACAATTGTTAGTATAGCAAGAACTGTCGATGACCAGGCGCTGACCCAAAACTCCCGTAGCTCATGGGTAAATATTCATGTGCAGTAGGCACATGAACATTCACCGCGTTGACTAAACGGTAGAAAGGAAGTTTTAGCGATTTTGAGGGCAGCCCAAGTGGCTGCATAGTCGGTAAGACCACGTAAGCTTCCCTCATGAAAATTCTTCTCTTTTTCTAATGAAAGAGGGATTAAGCCGGAACCCGTCCCAACGGCGCTGACGTCATCGACACTTCTCACTATAATATAGAGCTTTTACAAGCGGAACCATTATAATTATAGTATTATTATTAACTGAAGGTTATTAGATTATATTAAAACTATTATTCCTTATTAAAATAAAAGATTTTTTTTTTTGTAAAATTATATCTAGAATAGCTATCGTGTGTTTTTTTTTTTAGATAGTGAAAATCTTAATTGAAATAACTAAAAATACATATAAATGTATATATATATATATATTTTTTTTTTAATTCGTGTATTTGCTTTGAATATTGCATTTATTGATTCAATTTAATTTAAAATTCAATTCAACTTAACACCAACCGCGTCTTGTATTGAAACTAACCTTCTTCTGACGATCTTCGAGGTTGTGCTTGGAATAATGAGCCCTTAGTGGTGGGGCGTCTGATAGTTGTGGAGAGCTTTCCTTTTTTCTTGGTGCTGTCTTCAGTGAGGTTGTGGCAGGTCCAGGATTCTGGTCCTTCAATCAGTCATCTGATCTTCCGTTGCTGGGGCTCTTCAATTGTTGCAGACTTTTTATCACTGTGATCAACGATCGAGAGGGTAGAAGTTGATGTCCGTGTAGCTACTGTTGGTTCCTTTTTGGCAGAGACTGGTCCTTTTGAAGATGAAGCAATGTCTGCGTACAGTGAGTCCGGAATTTCCTGTTGGCCAACTGTGTGTTTAGTTTTCCTTTGTGTCGATACTGGTAATTCGAAACCCTCGCCCTTCGCCTTGAAGCGAAGTCCTTGAATAAGGTTGTTGACTCCAGTTTTAAATGGTGTGCGACATATATACAGTAAGAAGGCCGTGCACAGTAGAATCAATCCTCCATATGATCCATATGTCAAAATTCGATGTTCCCCTTTTAGGTGGCGTTGAAGGGACAGTTCCTGCAGTTGCTGCTCTAGGTCATCTAAATTCTTGGAATTCGTCTCGAAGATGGAAAGTTTGGGTTCAATTCCAAGGCCGGATTCAAATTGGGGTTCTGATTTTTTTTGTAAAAGGTTATATTCTGCCAGTAGTGGTGACAGTTTGGTTAGATTTAAATGCAATTCTGATTCAAAGATGTATTCAGATTTTCCAGTTTGGGAGGTAGTGGCTGGTATAATAGTGTCCTTGGTTTTTAAAGAGCAACCAGGGCCTAGTTTTATAATACCGGTGTTATTTAGTCCTATCTTAAGTGGACTAAAGGAATGGCATACGATCGTAGCGATTTCTGGGGTGGCAAAAGAGAACATCCATCCGCCAATGGTAGTTAGCGGTCTCCAATAAGAATCTCGGTTGCTAGTGATCCTTATTTCGCAGGACCTTAAGGCTTCCAAGGTTGGCTTAATTAAGAGTGAAGCTTCGCAGGACACTCGTTGTTGGAAATCAAAAATAGGAACACCTTGCAAGCATGCGTGGAATGAGGTCGTCGTTTTGCAACGGTTCCATTCTCGTTCCTTTAGCAAAAGGTATGTCCTTTTGATCCTCATCTATGATTAGATAATCATATTTTGAGCTTATATATGCTCTTCCTGTGCCATTCTCAAAATTTTCTTGGATGGTGGGGAGCGAATGTAGCTTAAAAGCCTGATAATTATATTTTTCCAGTAGAGGAATGTCAATAAGCACCTTAAGTTGGTGATTCTCGCAGAGAATTGTGACCGTAGAAATGCGCATGAGTTCGTCGATGCTGATCCTGGGTCCTGTTAATGGGAATTTGACATCCTTGAGATTGTCCTGGACTTCGCGAAGGATTGGTTCCAGTTGCGCGGAGGTAATGAGGCCTGGATGCAGGTTTCCTTTTCTGGCCTCATGAACTGCATCTAGCATGGTGGATGTAGCTTGGATGCTATGATCAAGTCCCAGTCTCAGGGCTCTTGCTATTGCGTAGGTCAGGTTTCTTCTTTCCATCTCAGCCTTTGACTTGGTGAGGCCTTTGTCGAGCAGCGTCTGGAGTTGTTCCTGTAGATGTTGCAGCAGGGAACCGTGTCGCTGCACTTGGCTATGTAACGAGTCAAGTTGTGATCTGACGACATGGGTCTGTTTTCCAACAAGGTGCGATAGGTTGGCCTGGGCTTCGTTCAAGTTTTGAATAGCTGCATTATATTTTTCTCCATCGTCGTACGTCATCACGCCAATGATTGGTCCTGCGATTTTCCCTAGGAATCCGAGTAAAGGAACCGCTCGCCTTGTTCGCAATTGAGAGGTCATCTTTCTAGGTGAGGTTGTTTTAGTGTTTTCTAGTTCCTCGATTTGGACTCGGAACTGTTCCTGAAGTTCAGAGGCCATTTCCCATCTATCTTCCCATTGGTATGATTCCATTACATCTAGGCACCATTCTTCTTTAGGTTCGCATTGTGCTCCCAACTTCCTCAGGCGCTGCTTCAGGTCGTCGAAAAATCGGCACTGCTTTCCAACATCCAGGAAGACAGCAATTCTCCAATTGCTAACCGATCTCCTGACTTCCCCGATGTACTCGAAGTACATCCCGCTGCTGGATTGGAAAGGGGTGATCTGGTACTGGTCACTTCCTGTAGGTATATCCGGTCAACTTAGAACATCCCGTCCGTTTCCTGTAGATATGATCGAAAGGAGACATAGTAGGGTTACAACAGCGATTCTCATCATAGTGGGTCCTTGGGCTCTCTGCATCCCTAAAACAATATTAAAATTAGCGATTGAAATCATATGTGGGCAACCATGATTTTGTCCCTATGCTTCGCGAATCTCGTGCCGTTTTCACTTTCCAGGATCACATTGTTATTTTCAGTGAATCCTGCAACAGTGAAAGGACCATCGGCTCGTTTGTCGAATTTATTTGTTCGAACTTCTTTATATACATAGACTTGATCGCCTATGTTAGCATTTAAAGGTCTAGATTTTCTGTCGTACACTTGTTTCGACCTTTCCTTTGAATGAACCAAATATTTAGCTGCGAGGTTTTGCAGTTCGTTCATTCGGGTGATTAGGTCCTTAAGATAAGAGCCATAGGTTTCGACTTCCGGGCCTTGGGGCAATGAGCTGGGTGCTCTTGCCAAATGACCGAACACAAGCTCGTATGGTGTAAAATTTGTAGCTTCATGAACTGAAGTATTATAGTTGAACATGGCAAATGGGAGCAAACGATCCCAATCGTCGAAATCCCTTGCATAATGTTTAATATAATCCGTCAGTTCAATGTGGCTTCTCTCGAGCGCACCATTTGTTTGTGGTCGGTATCCGGAAGTAGTAAGTTGTTTGACGCCAAAATTTTTTTCCAATTTGCGCATCAATGAACTCACGAAACTTGCTCCTCTGTCAGTCAGCACGCATCGTGGTGCTCCGAAGACAGAAAAAAGGTTAGTTGCCACCGCGTGGGCAATTGTTTTAGTCTCGATATTTGGGATTGGGACCGCAATACAATATTTGGAAAAGTTATCCTGCATCGTGAGGATGTGACGATTTCCATTCGGGGTTGTTTGTAGTTTCCCAACCGTGTCCAGCGAAACTTTATCAAAAGGCATCGCTGGAGTGTCGGTGATTAACATCGGTTCCCTAGTTCGCGCCCTAACTAGCTTGTTCTCGAAACAGCTTTTGCACCCGCGAATTAATTGTGTGACGTCGTTGCGCATTCGTGGCCAATAATATCGTTCTCGAATTCTACGGTATGTTTTGGAAATTCCTTTATGTCTACCGATTAGACTGGAGTGGAATTCGGCAATGATCTTACTGCGCAAGTTTTCAGGAGGTACTTCGATTTTTCCGTGGCAAAGGGTGATAGTGACGTCGCCACCGCGGAAAATTCCTGTTACGAGTTCAGCCATTTTTCCTTGGGGAATTGCACCTAGCAAATCTCCAGTGTTCGCTATTCTACAAGAATTTTGACCATTTGTTTCTAAAATTTTCCTTAAATTTTTAAGTCCCTTAATCACATCATCCCAACTAATTTCGTCGAAATGGTACCTCTTTACTACAATCGAATAAACTCGACATTTTCCGTTACGGGTAATATAAATTTGTCCTTTCACGGGTTTGCTATCCCTAATCTCTCGGAGGTCAATCTTTTCCGTCGCAATTAGAAGTTTGGCGATTGGACTAGTAGGTTCGCAATCTTCAGAAATGAAATGTGCGTAATTGTCACGTCTGTAGGTCAAAGGTTCAGTCCACCGATTTTGGATAAATTCAAAAGGCTTATTATTTTGTGACGAGGGTTCTTGGGGTACACAATCACTATCATTTTCACTTCTGTTTTCACTGTCATCATCACTTCCTGATTGGGAAAGGGGAGGATCAATATAGGGTTCTTTAATGTCTAAAAGTGAGCTGCCCGGTAGTACATTATTCGATCGCTCCTTATCGGTTATTTCCTGAATTCGTCTTGGTTTCGAGTTTGCTTTTCTATTGATTAAAGCTTCTTTAGAGGTGTCGAAGTTACTCTTAAATCGAGTGAAGGGGGTTGATTGTGCAAAAGGGGCTGTTAGAGTTCCTGAAAGTGATAGGTTTGATATTTTTGATTGTTCATCCTTCGCAGCTTCGAAAACTTCTGGCATTTCTTTGAATCTAACGATGCTCTTTCTTTGGGTCCTGGCGGGCAGGTGGTCAATGGAGTTTCTTGGGAATAGGCAGGGGTGTCAGCGGCTGGTCGATATTCGAGAGGATCGTCGGATTTTCTTCCGGGTTGATCCTTAGCTCGGCTCTGGTTGTATTTATCCAGAAATTCCTTTACTCTTCTTGAAAGTCCATCGTCATATTCATCAACAGGATCCTGGGTCCTCAAGTAGTCCAAATGCTCTTGATCATCCTCACCATCTGAAACACACTGTCTTCTGGAAGCGTGGTCCAATCCTTCATAATCCCAGAATAGGGTGTTGTTCGTGAGATTAGAGACACCTGCTCCTGCGCCTGTGACGGAGTTGAATTTATTAATGGATTCATTCACTCCCTGGACAAGATGTTGAGTTTCGGTTATAGGATCATCCTTGGGTTGATCCTCCTGATCACTTGATTCACTGCTGCTGTTGCTGATCCTTCGTTGCCCCTCGATGATTACTTGGTCGGGAGGTAGTTCTTCTGATTCTGACTC